GGAACACACTGCTGAGCATGTCTACCCGGGGCATCCACACGAAGTTTGCAGTATCGACAGCTATCTCCTTTGTGGAAGAAGACTTTAAATTGATTGAGTCTTGGTTATTGGTTGGAGAGTTTTCTCCAGCTTGGCCATCACTTCAGGATGCTGCTTGTTTAAATGCTGTTTGGCTCCTTTCTGGCCTACGAGGACCTGACCACAGAGTGCGCAGTGTTCCATCAGGTAATCATGGAACGCCGGATTTCGAGCGGCGCCTTCTGGATTGTCCTGGGCATCAGACTGTGACTTTCTACGAGTGACATCCGATTCTGTGCTTCTAAGGGTAACTCTTCCTGCTGTCTAAGCAAAAGCTCTACCCTCGGGCAGGTGGATGCTTCGACATGTTTGCGCAGGTAGAACACTGTTCGGAATGTTGCTCGACAGGCGATGCAAGTTGCTGACCCTGGCATTGAATGCAAGATAGGATCAAATTTGGGTCCTTTCAGGCACTGCTGAGAATCTGGGTGAGCCTTCTGCAGGTGGCGACGGAGTGCTCCGGTGCCAGAGAGACATGCTCCACATTCACCGCAGGTCAGAAGCCTATCCTCCACAGGTTGCGAGGAGAAGTCCGTGGAGAGGCCTTCCAATGCCTGGCTAACTGCCTCAGCACGCAACTTATAGTGTGGGAGAAGCTGGGGATCGGAGTGTTGCTGTCTTTTTATAAACTGGGTCATTCTCTTTTGCAGCTGCTCCTTCACATGAGGAATCCGTAATCTCCGGAGTAACTCCTGGTTTGATTCTTTCGTTTCCTGGGAGTAACCCCGCAGGACGAATCTGAGTTGGTACATCATGTGTGAATGGAGCTTTTGCAATCCCTGCTGTGTCATCCCCACCACGTGGAGTGCATACAGAGCAGAGGCCCGCGCAGTTATTGTCCAAATCGACAGACGACGTCTGTCGATAAGACTCGGTGGTTCCGAACTGCATGGGCTACTTCTGACATTGCAAGCTTACTGGATGACAGCCGATGTTTGAGAGTCTTCATTTCATAGCCGTGATAAGAAAGAATGACCCCCAAGTATGGGACCTGATAGCGCAGCGATATCAGCCTGCCCGAAGGGAGTTCAACAAACTTCTCTCCCTCGACCTGGCGAAAGAGTTTCTTCCTAATGGTCGAGGCTGAGCCCCCTTGCAGCTGCAGCAGAATTGCTGACTTGGACGGATTGACCTTGAACCCAAGCTCGACCAACTGATCCAGAAGCAGGTCACAATACCCTAGTGCTGTCAAAAGTCCGGACTCAGAGTCGAAATGCGACTGGATCAAGCTATCATCCGCGTACATTGTGAGGAGCTTCACTAGTTCAGCTGGGCTGATTTTCCCAGAGAGCTTCCTAAAGAGAAGCCCTGATGCAAAGGCGAATAAAGAGGGTGCTAGCTTACATCCCTGCTTGATTCCCCTGCGTGTGGCTATCTCAAAGCTCTGATCGCTGGCTGTCATCTTATACAAGTCTTTGATGTGGAGATGGCCTACCACCTCTATCAGAAGAGGATCTGCTTGTTCGGCTTCCAGGGCCTCTCTTAATCGCAGCCTGTTTACAGTGTCAAAAGCTTTGCTCATGTCCACGCTCATGGTGAGACTGCCTCTGAGCTTGAGCCCCTGTTGTCCCTTTCCTGCAGCCTTGGTGGTGAGGGCCTGTCTGAACCTGGCCTGGTCCACATGTGTGAGGGCCTTGCAGATAGCCTCCTCTGTGCCCCTACCTGGGACGAAGCCGAACTGAGAGACGCCGGTCATTGCATGCTGGAGAGTAGACTTGAGTCTCTTCCTCACGAGTCCGGCTAGGACCTTACCCTCAGGCGCTATCACCCCGATCGGACGGAGTGAGGTTGGTTTGTCTGGCTTCTTCGGAGGCTTTGGGAGCCAGGAGATCTGTGACGAGGTGACACTGTCCGAGAGCCTTCCTGCAGTGACTTCCCTATTGAGGGTGTTCGAGATGAGCCGGATTGCTTGGGGACCTAGGGAGCGCCAGGCTACCACGGGAGGACTCTCTTTAGGAACCGCTTTGCCAAGCTTTATTGTGCCGAGCTGTTCTTGCACTTCGTGCTCAGTGATGTGCAGGCTGCCTTGTATCCCTGAAAGCGGGAAGTCATCCCCTGCTCCAAACAGGTCTAGGGAATATTCCTCTAATTGTCTTCTTTCTTCCTTGGAAGTAAGGAAGCGACCCTCAGAATCACGAAGCTGAACTCTTTCCTGGGGCCTCCCCGACCTGAAGCGCTTGATTGACTTGTAGAGGGAATGACTCCCGTCTTGCTTGGACTTAAGCTCTGCCTGCTGGAGTTGTTCATCTATTTCCTGCCGCCGCCGCTCCTGCTTGTGACGCTTTGCCACCCTCGCCTGTGCACTTTGCTGGGAGAACGAGCACCAGCATCGGAACACCATGCGTAGCTGCAGCTCGGGCAAGAACTCTGCCAAGACCTTGACTGCTAGTGGGAGTGAGCGCAACACAGAGCGCTCTTCCCAGATGTTGAGATCTGATCTTTGTGCTGCTTCCTTTCTCTTGGGAAAGTGAGTCGCTAGAGCTGAGTTCATTGCTTGATGGAGACTCTGCCAGGTTTGGGGATGATCCTGAAGGAGGGAGTCTACATCCCTGGCAAATGCCTGTATTTTCGGGGAACGGTGTCTATAGCAGTCCTCCATTGCCTGCTGGTCATAGGGTTTTGAGGCTTGGGCGGAGTATCTCCTACTGTGCCTCAGTTTACCAAGAAGGGGGAAATGCCTACTACCATCCCTCCAGGATGCAACTGGGAAGGTCCTTAGTGGCCGGCAAAACCTGGCGGGGCCTTGGGACTGTGCAATCCTGACAAACGAGAAGTCAATCTGCGAAACAGAGTTGCCTTGTTCGTGGGTGGCTGGCCTATGCACTCCCCAAGTGTTGGTTGCGACTAGCTGGTGCTCCGACAGTAGGGTCTGGAGATCCTTAGATCCGCGATGCCCGAGTCTGCAAGCCTGGATCGTGCATGGGCCTACATGTTTGTTGTCAGTTTTGAGCGAGGAGTTAAAATCTCCTAGCACAAGGAGAGTGTTGCGATTGGGAACAGCTCGGATGGACTTGCTTAGGGAGCGAAGGGTCTGCTTCCGGGTTTCCTTATTCTGAGCGACTGTCTCCTTGGAGCGCCAAACGTATTGATAGCAGCTGAAGACGTCCAGTGAGATGCCGTTGCTCGGCACCCGGACCTGGAGAACTCTTCCTGGAACAACCTCGTTGTAACGAAGAGCCTGTGACTTGAACAGCGTGGAGTGCACCATTATGAGGACCCCGGCTCCCTTCTCCCCTGTAGAACCTGAGCTAATCACATGCCAGCCTGACTTGCTGAATTGCCAAGAGCCCCTCCAGTGTGTTTCCTGAATTGCTACCAACTTCACATCCTGAAATGCGGCACTTTGCAGTACGGAGAGTAACTCTTCCCAAACTGCTGTTGTGAGAGATCCTGCATTCCAGGATAGATAGCTGAGATTCTTATCTTCAGTAAATTTCGAAGGCCGAGTCCTTCTGCCGGGGTTGGTGGGCTTTACATGTGCCGGAGCAACTCCAAGCTCTGTTGACGACATCGTCTTTCCCTTGTAGACCGCACTACCTTCAAGCAGAGCTTTACGTGCTGCCCTTTGATAAGAGCGTTTACCCTTCCCTTTAGGAACGGGCTTATGCTTGGTCGAACCACTAGGCTGTTTCGCAGCACTCATGTTGAGTACGGCTCCTGTCGGCTTCGCAATACCGACAACCCTCACCTCTGGGAGATGTTAGAGAGCTGTAAATCTAATACTCCCTCCCGGACTTGGGACCGGGACTGCTCAGGCGCTGACAAATGCCATGGCAAGAAAAGAAAAAGGCAACTGTACTAGCCTGACCTTTCCTGAGCCGAGAGGCTTACAACAACAACAACAACAACAACAACAACAACAACAACAACAACAACAACACCAACACCAACACCAACACCAACACCAACAACAACAACAACAACAACAACAAACCAACAACAACAAACCAACAACAACAACAACAACAACAACAACAACAACAACAACAACAACAACAACAACAACAACAACAACAACAACAACAACAACAACAACCAACAACAACAACAACAACAACAACAACAACAACAACAACAACAACAACAACAACAACAACAACCACAACCACAACCAACAACCAACAACCAACAACCAACAACCAACAACAACAACAACCAACAACCAACAACCAACAACCAACAAGAACAACAACAACAACAACAACAACAACCACCAACGACAACACACAACAACAAACAACAACAAACAACAACAAACAACAACAAACAACAACAAACAACAACAAACAACAACAAACAACAACAAACAACAACAAACAACAACAAACAACAACAAACAACAACAAACAACAACAAACAACAACAAACAACAACAAACAACAACAACAACAACAACAACAACAACAACAACAACAACAACAACAACAACAACAACAACAACAACAACAACAACAACAACGGCAACAACAACAACAACAACAACAACAACAACAGCAACAACGTCAGCAGCACCAGCAGCAAGAGCAAGCAGCAGTAGCAGCAGCAGCAGCAGCAAACAAGAAACAAAACACCATGAAAGCCAGTGTCGGTGCTGTTACTGGTGACGAGGACGATTATGCTGTTGATGACGGCGGTGACGATGAGGATGAGCATGATTACTGTTATCAATATGCCTTGGCCTAGTCGTTGTACGAAGCCGTGTGCGGATGGTGCTGCTGTTGACGATTGTGAGGGCGATGACCGTTACGTAGTCTGTAACCAATTGCACATGTGAGCTTTTGCGACAAAGATGACCCATGAAGCTGAGCATGGTGACTATGACCGAGGACGACCGCTACGACCTGTCATGGCCAGTCATGCTGGCATTCTTACCGAACTTTATGTCTGCCAACGACAGTGGCAACAACTGCTCAGGTGAGGACAAGTTGGCCCGCAACTCGACGAGCGTGTTGCCGGCATCCTTGGGGATCTGAAAACTGATGTCACAGGTGCTTGGCTCTTGATTTGAAAACTGCTTCGCCTGCTTTCCGAGGACGAAGCCACTAGACGAACTGCAGCTGGCATCGACGGGCCTTTGGACAGCACCTGACTGACATATCTCACATGTTCTGATGGACAAGGTTCTAAGATAGAACCAATCCACTTCGCCATGGCGTACTACAGCAATACCATCTTCCTGCCAAACACTTCCCCGGCTCCCTTCTGCGGGTCAACCAAGTCGCCACAGCGCGACAGCAGCAAAGGTTGGAACTGCTCCCAATTGCTAAGATATGTCTCTTTCTTTACTCTTCGGATCTGAGAGCTCCGCGGCACTGCTCGGCCTGGAAAGCTGCTTGGAGCAAGTGTTCGTTATCGTGCGCATTCGCCGGGTCTCGTGCGACAAAGCCCCGCTTTCAGCGCGTACCGAGGGACGAAGCAAAGGACACAGGTCATGGACCTTCGCTGCTGCACAGAAAACATCAACACTTTCGATGTGCTGAGACGCTAGCCTTTCACTGGAACCAGGATTGCCACAGGACACTGCGACGGACGGCGCCGGCAGACAACAGCAGCTTCTCGTGGCGACCCACATCAAGACTCGACTGGGCAATCCAGGCAAGCTCATGCTGGTAAAGCTGCTGCTGTGATCCTCATACTAGAAGGAGGCATTCCAAACAGTACAACGTACCAGAACTCACCGTTCGGCGTGGACAACAAATCATTGTGCTGAAAACGTGAGGAGAGTTTGGCACGGCCATCATTGAGGAGCTGACTGCCCCATGTCTTCGGCACACTTCACGAAAAAGCTGTAACCTAGCTCGGCTTCGGCTTGACTTTGGAAGCTTTGTGAAGAATCTTAGCGTAGGGCAGCGCATCTCGCACTTCCACTTCGGCCTCGAAGTTGGCGCCCTGCGTTGAGGGTTGAGATGCACTGTTAATCTTGTGTTCAAGCTCTCCTTCATAGCCTCAACCTCGAGACTTCGAGCACGCTGTCCAACTATCAGTGGCTCTGTCCCGCCCGGTGTCCCCCTGGCATTGCACGATGGTTTCCAGCCTGCTCAGAAAAGCGGAAGAGCTGCTCAAAGAAGGGTATGTCCTCCGAATGGGCGTGTGTCAGTATCATGGCCTGACAAGCCTGACGTCCATGACATTGACTGCAGTCAGATTTGATTTCCACTGGCATGAATATCAAATTATTCCAAGGGGGGATCCCCAAGCCGTGACTGAGCACCGCGACCACAATCAAAACCACATTTACAAGAACCACTGGACCACAACGACGACCAGGACCAGTAAAGTCAGTAAACTGCGGGGAGACCACCAGAACACCGTCAGCTTCAGGACCAAGGCCACGATGGTACTGGCCAGATTCTGAGACACGACCACAATGCTTCCCCAAATGCACTTCTGGATTCAGATACTTTTTTACCAAAACATACAGCCGAAACTTTCGGCCGCACGAATCGCGTCTGAATGTTGAAATGAAGGGCCATTACTTCAAACTATGCCCAGTGCGACCCCGTGCAGCTACGCTGACCAACTCTCTTTTCATCCAACGTAAAACCCATAAGCCATAGCCCATCGCGAGTGCCACACAGGAAACTAAACGAACATAGCAAGCACCAAAAGCCACCATGCAAGCATGTGCCAGGACTCTCCAGTGGCCCATATGCCCGGCGGGCCGCGAAGAAGCCCGCAACCCTGGCCTAAAGACGCATTCTGTTTGGGGTCGTGGCTATGCGAGCGTCTGAAAGATGGATTCCGACGATGTACGATGCACATTAAACCACCCGTGCGCCATGAGGAGGTCCTTTGGACGATCCCCGAGCACAACCGGCGCTGGAGTTAAGATCAAGAGTTCTTGGTTCAAGACCATGGATGCGAGCCTTTGTGGCCGGCACCTACAGTTTGAAGGAACTCGCCGTCATGGCGCAAGCTGCAAGCTGGCGAACACACTTCCGTGAGATGCCAAACAGCTCCTCCCTCAAAGCCTAAGGATGCAAATTGCTCGTCGACATAAACTGGGCAACTTACTGGAATTCTTGTCCCATCATTACCCCGCGTTGCTTTTTCCAACAGTGGAACGGTCTTGTTCACACCAATGCGAAAGCAAGAGCCTGTCATGCGTTCGCCTAATAATGACTTCTGTGTTCTTCGCATCACGGCTCAAGCCGAGGCCGAAAGCCTTGGGGGGCCTGCCCCGCAGTACTTTGCCCAGGAAACAAAACAAGCATCAAGCACTACTCTGCCCTCAGCACTTCACTTCCATGACTCCATTTTTTGGCGCTGCTGAAAGGGACCACGATGACGCCTGCTCTATGGAGAAGTGGCCCATAACAGCCTGTTGCTGAAGAAGGATCTCCGTGACCATGTGGCACACGTTCGTGGTGTCTGTCTCTGGGTCCTGCGTGCGGCTCCAATTCTCGCTTGTCATTTGGACTTGGACCGTCTCCTCTCGGATCTGGAAATTGCATCGCGATACACATGTTCTGAACACGAAGCAGTTCTGCACCGCCAGGGTGAATGCACTCATATCCGAAAGGTCAACATGGATCATCTTTCTGCGGTCCATGTTAGGGGAAGAATCAACAGCAATCGCAAGGTTGGCAAGCAGATCGACCAGAACATGCAGGAATGCGGACAAGCCCACCAGCTTGTTGCTTCTCGCGTTTGAAATACAGTCTGGAAGGAATTCGAGCACGAATGCGCGCTCAGACATGCCGTCGGCCAAAAAGTGGGACATCAAACGCATCCTCGCTCTTTGGCTACAGGTGCACCATGCTTTGCGCAACTCAGCGTAGCTATCCCGATCCTGTAATCGACTCAGGCAAGACAAGCGAACGAGAACAAGATCTTCTGTAGTTGTGGAGGGCAAGCCGAGGGATCCAGCTCGGGCACAGAGATAGCCCCAGTAGATGCCCATTGGCGTCGCTTCTAGAAGACGCTGCAGCATGCAAATGCAACTGATGACTGCGTCTGCGTTCTTGGCTGTCATGAATTTTGAACCTAGGCCACCTGCAATGCCACTCATAAAACCCAGTAGAAACAGGACGTAGAATTGAAAGGCGCCGTTGCCGCTCTGTGAAAATCGCTCCTGCAACTCAGCGAGGGATGCCGGGATATTCTCACCCTGAAGCATCTGTGCCAGCTTGAAGGCTTCGTGATGCAGGAGTGTGTCCTGCAGCAAAGCAACATCGCCAGCATCCAGTTTGGCAACTGACGGGACCACGTTTGGCTGCTCTTCCATGAGGTATAGAACTGCCCTCTCAGGACGTTGATCCTGTTCGGGGATCTGGCTCAGCAAAGCTTTCGACTTCCCGAGACCTCTCATGGCCAATAGAACCAAAACAGCACGGACATGCTTGTCCGTGGGGTTGATCCACCTGACTATCTCCTGCAGCTGTTCCCACTGTAAGTGCGACAGCTTGTGAGCTGACTGTACATAGGTGTAGATGTCATACCTGTTCGTCAGAAGAGCAAGTATGCCGATGCATGCAGATTCTGCACGACCTCTTTCTGCCCTTTCCTCGAAAACGCTATATGTTCCCCGAGTGGGGTGAATCTCCGGGAGAAGCCTTTGCAGCTTCTGTGCCAGCCCCTCCGCCCCCAGTGCGCCATCTCTTAGCTCCACGATGAGGTGCGTGACAGCAAGCTCCGTTGCTTCCTGAAGCGGAGGGCACCGACCGGCCTGTGCTGTCGTGTGACCTTGCGACACGTCGTCTACGAACTCTGAGATTACAGCCGTAAGAATGTCTATGTTCTCAAATTGTTTCGACTGATCCGGATGAAGCTCCTGGAAGTACTGGCTCTTCTGGCAGCAGTCACGTGCATATCTTATTTGATCGTCATGCGTGTCACTGACGCCTCGTTGCTTCGCAATGAAGTCCCTGGCATACTCGCAGAAGAGCGCGGAACAGGCAGGCGATTCGCGCACTGTCGAAACCAAACTGTCCCCGGAGAGCATAAACATCTCAGCGATATTCTTGGCCCTTAAAGTCGAAATGTGGATGGCAGTTTCGGCGTACAAGCTGATTTCAGCAAACCAGTGGACCTCGTCGCCTTTGAGAATCCTATCATCGGGTTCCTCCAAGGATATGTCGGAAAGTGTGTAGATGCCTGCCGTGGTCATGTGTAGAGATTCAGCCCAATCACCAGCTGCAAATACTAGTTCCCCCTTCTCATACACGTGCTTTTGCAGCGTGGTGCAGACATGCGCAAAGACGTCCGGGAAAATCTCAAGGGTCAGTGAAAAGATGGGAAGCTTCGAAAGGAACTTCCCCCGCTGGCCGACAAAAAGCTCTGTGTAGAGAGTCGGCGAGATCAGAGACTCGTCGAAGCTAAAAGCCGTCATCTTCTCAAGCTTATAATCCACAAACTTCATCACACGTCCAATAAGCTCGTAGCCGGCGTTTTGGCTGGTGAGGTACATCCTCACTTCGCGTCGCTGACGCGCCCGTTCTTCGTTCAGGGCGCGTAGATCATTCAGAGTTCCGGCCACCGCTGAGATTGCAGAACCGATGACCATTAAGGAAAACATATAGGCACTGATGTCAAAAACCCTTTCCGTAGCACTATTCGGTGCAATCGAAGGGGGCGATGGCGAATTGATCACATATCGTAACGAATGCAGCCACTGCACATAGATGCTTAGGTCCTTTGCACCGGATATTTCAATCCAGCTAACACCGTGAGAGGCTTCCACCCACCGCCCCAGACCGATCCATATACAAGCAAGAATGTGCGCCACTACCAGTATTCTGCAAGCCGTGTTGGCGATTGCAATAACCAACATGATCCACTGCCGCCCTGAGGCTGCCGCAACTTCCTGAATCATGTCGTGCAATTTCGACATCTTGAGCAAACGAACAAGGCGAAGAGCACGAACCAGGCGGGCCACGCGCAGCGCAGCCAGATTACCTACAGAAGTAGTGAACAGGTTGAGACAATCCAGCAGTATAAGCAGAATATCGAATAGCAGCCATGACTTCAGGTACTGCATTGCGATCGTCGAGCGTGCATAGATAAGATTTCCTCTCAGATAGGTGGCCGTGTTGAAGTTGCAAAATATATCCATAAACCAGAACCCGAAGCTGCATAGAAAGGAGGCATGGAACACGAAATTCGCTTCGGTGTCGACGTCCCAAGCAATGGCAACAGGTGTGAGGAATCCATCCAAAGTCACCAGTACAAGAGCCAGGGTGTCCCAAGCGATTCTGAAAAGTCCCTCAGGGTGCAGGGGCTTCTCCAACCAGTGCTCTCTCATGCGGACACCAAGTGAAAGGCTGCGAGAACCTTCGATGACAGCGTTCAATCTTCGTTTGGGCTGTCTGTCAGAGAGCACAGATGAAAGCTGGGTCGACAGTTCCATCCATCTGCCATGGAGATGCGACTTCCCCTCACTGGTTCCACCTCTTGTGCTCGATGGGTGCAACTTGAAAGTGTCCACTTCCAGACATGGAGGGCTCTGGCGTCGTCTCGAGATGGCAATGGGCTCTGTGGCCTCCATGACGACGACATTCTCTGATTCCTTCGTGACCGCTGAGAAGGGAAGGTTAATGCAGTCCGATGTGCCCACCATTAGTGCCTGTGCACAGTCAGTTGATAGTCAATTCGAGTGAACGGACAACGAGCAAAGCACATGTGCAGCTGGCCTCCAACTCATCGAGTTTGTGGTGGATGTGTTGGTGAAAAGTGTCCTAAGGCACAGCTTCAGGAAACCCTTGAACGATTCAATGTACTGCGCTGCTTTCGAGTTGCGACCCCATCGCGAAGCGACCGGAAGGCGTTCTCGGAGCCGGAGTCGTTTGGGCTTAGGCCCGCCATCGTCGAAGCGGTGGAGGGTTGGTGGTCTACCAACTGTGTATGTATGCATATATATATATATATGTATATGTATGTATATATGTATGTATGTATGTATGTATGTTTCTACAGTTATAAATACAATTTGACCCATTAGAAGCATGTAGCCGTGTATCCAGCCTGCAGTCCCTGCACCGCGAGCTGCTACTGTAGCTGGGGCAAAAAGCTGATCCACCACACCAGGAAAGGTGACCCGGCGGCGCCGTGCAAGCCGGCTGGCAAACAACAAGTATC